CCTTCCTGGAACAACTATAACACAAATTACCTTTTAGAAACCTTCCACTATAACACAAATTACCTTATACAAACCTTCCACTATAACACAAATTACCTTTTACAAACCTTCCACTATAACACAAATTATATTTTACAAACCTTCCACTATAACACAAATTACCTGAATTAGCAAAAAAAAAAAATATATGTTTTTACATCAAAAGAATTTATTTAGGAATCATATTCAGTTCTGGAATATTTTTTTCTTAAATTATTCTGGAATGGTCTAGATGTCATTTCCTGGATTATTACTTTACATCGTATGGTTGTTGTAGACAGTAGAGGGTTTGCAAAAGGTAATTTGTATTATAGTGGAAGGTTTGTAAAAGGTAATTTGTGTTATAGAGGAAGGTTTGTAAAAGGTAATTTGTGTTATAGTGGAAGGTTTGTAAAAGGTAATTTGTGTTATAGAGGAAGGTTTGTAAAAGGTAATTTGTGTTGTAGAGGAAGGTTTGTATAAGGTAATTTGTGTTATAGTGGAAGGTTTGTTAAATTTTCGAATAAACCTTAAATTTTTCAGGGAACTTTCTACCTTATTTCGGTTACCACGAAACGCGTTTGATATTCGATGCATTTTTATTGTTATATTTTGGCAATTCAACGTTTTTACGGCATCAATATGGAATCAGTTTCCAAGAAAATTGTTAAAAATAGGTGTCTTTGAATACAAAACGCCATCTTATGTATTCAATATCTATATTTTCAAATTCTGTGAAAAACAACACAATCTATTCAATAGTTTTACCATATTTCCGCGAATCAAATACAGGATATTTCTGAGTACGATACTGCATGAAAAAGCGATAAAGAAGAAAAGGAAGTCAGAAAAATACCACTTACTGTTAATTTTTCACGACAGATCAAAACGATCGAATTTTACTACTTCTAACATTTGCAAGATTGCTCCCTAGTGGTTCAACGATAAATTCGGAGAGCTTATAACGCTAAAAATCGCCCACTGATAGGCCATTGTGTAGCTTTGTGCTTAAAAATAATCACAATAATCATGAAAAGTCCAGTTCACTTGATGACAACAATGTTTTTTTATTTATTAAATTTTAATAGACATTAGAAACATTCAGTTTATGGGTCTAATTGAGTAGAAAAGTATTCAAGAATTGTACACTAACTGATATCTACTAGACTTGTATGAAAGGTAATTTAATCTTGACAATTCAGTACTGTATAGTCCATTCATGTTTCAGTTTGTGTTATTCCTAAAATATGTTTTTAAACGCAAAAAATAGTCGTTAAACTAGTTTTCTGAGTCTACAACTTGAAATTTTACATAATAAATCTAATTAAGTAATATGCAGAAATCACATATTTTGTCACCAACTTTTTATATGGTTATCCTAAAACAATTAGCGGAATAACAGATGCACCGAATGCTTTGATTTACTTCCACAAGATGTCGCCACCAGTATTAAAAATCAACTAAATGTACGAGTTCCTTAGAATTTGCCAAAGTCATAAAGTTCCCATTAATAACATGACATCGTGGCAGATGTCAGTACAAAGTGGACAGTGAACTTATTTATGGATGTCAAGTGTATGATATGTTTTGTAGAGTTTCTAAATGAAGAAATGTTTTATGTTTTGTTGACATAGATTTATTGTATTTGATTACTTGGATACTTGAACACTTGGATATACCGTAAAATCTGCTTCTTCGTGTTTATCAAATGAGGATTTGTCCAGAGGAGGGCTATTAATCTCAAGAAATGACTTCATTTAAACAACTGGGATTTAAAGGTTCTTTTCAGGGCCATCATATTCTGACAAAGAGAAAGTTATGTTTACACATATAACCTCTACTGATGAAACTGTTTCTTACTTCTAATATTTACAACGAACATCAGCATTAATCTTTCTTTCTTGCAAGCTTCCAATGAATGGTTAGCTGTAAGTCTGAACAGTTCATCTAAGATCACAATACTTGAAGTTTTGTGAATACATTTCAGTATGTTCAACAACAGTCTTATTTAAAGTTTGTGGTTTTACTTATGTACATTGTTGATAGTATATCAAATACACATCTGTATTAATCTTTCTTTCTTGCAAGCTTCCAATGAATGGTTAGCTGTAAGTCTGAACAGTTCATCTAAGATCACGATACTTGAAGTTTTGTGAATACATTTGAGTATGTTCAACAACAGGTCTTATTTAAAGTTTGTGATTTTACTTATGTACATTGTTGATAGTATATCAAATACACATCTGTATTAATCACAAGTATACGAAACTTGTATTAGTCAGCATGATAAATAAAGTTCCAAATCAGCAAGAAAAAAGCTCTAGACAAATATTTGTGAAAGATAAGAATTTGATTTTCTACAATAGTAATGATTAAAACATTTTTATTGTCACACAATTAAATTATTATATATTATTTAAAGGTTCAGGTAAGTACCCTTTTTATGGGCAAATAGATGTTATACAATTACACATTAATTATAGAAATGAAAACTACGGAATTAGCGATAAGTATTTTGCATAGAAAAAACATAAAACGCGAATTAAACATAGAAGTGAAAACTATAATGATATGCTACTGCACGTTAACTGTGTTAGTAGCCTATTAAAAAGTATCACCATGTTCTAGGCGTTTTATTTTTTCAACCTATAATTGCATACAATGGAGGTAGTTTCGAAAATCTTAGGTTTTTATAACATTCTTTATTTGACTTTATAAAACACGTGGCATATTAATTTTTTAGGTCATACCTACTCAACTGTTCTTTTTTTTAAAACCACGCCTATAATTACTATCCATTATTGCCGTTACGTATTATAAGTGATTCTTACTACCTTTTCGAAATTGGGTCATGCCCTTTAGCGGTGAAGGTTTAGGCCTTATGTCTTGGGATGTACAGAGATTTTCAAGGATTTGTTATAACACACTTCATAAAACATTGCCTAGCAATACGCCCCCTGGTGTTGTTGACGTACATATTATGTCATTGCCCTCGACACGTTACATGAGCTTGTCATTGGGTCATGTTTGTTTACTTCCTCCGCTGGATGGTCATTCTAACTACTAACGAGTTTTTCCTGTTGTATGCTGATAAATCGAACCGTTTTCTGGATTCTCGTTCATTTTGTTGTTGTCATGTAAACGGCACATAGATAAACACTTTATTTTAGCCTTAAAGAATGAGTTAGACATCAATATAAAAACAATACACTATTTAAGGAATCGAAGTTGTTTCGAAACTAACTGGTTTCTGTTGACCATAAAAGAATAATCCAAGGTATTTCGAAACTAACAGACATTAATATAAGCCATAAAAACGTATTAGACATAAGTTTAAAAACAATTACACAAATCGAAACTAACTGATTTTTCTACTGATCACAAGTAATGGATAAGACATACGTTTTGAGATAATATGTAAATAAATACATTAAAGTTGTTTCGACACTAAATGAATTTTCTATTATTTACAATACAATTAAGTATGTGTGAATAAGTAAGGAAAGAAGATAATTTTGATAATTTCACTGCGCGAGTAACAAGCACTGTCATATATCAAATTTTGTTCTTCAATTGTTTGAATAACAGACAATTTATTCTTAAATCGTTTAAATAATAGACAATTTATTTTTAAGTTGTTTAAATAACAAACTATTTATTCTCCAGTTCTTTAAATGACAGAGAATTTGTTTTTCATTTGTTTATATAACAAATGAAGACTCAAAATAATGAATAAAGTACTCCAAGTAAAATAAAAAATGAAAGCCACAAGATTTTATAATTAAATTGTTGTACAACCAAATGGACACCAGAAGGCTGTAAATTAGAGTATGATTTGGGGATCATCATCTATTTACGTAATAATATAGTTTTATAAAATTGTTTCATTAATACATTCCAGGAGCATCAATGTAAAGTGGAAAGAATTCAAATCTCAGTTGAACCTATATTGTCTGAACGAGTAATACATTGATATAATCTCTGCATTTGCTTGGCATTTGGGAGGCATTTGCGAGACGTGCCTCTGGTCTATCAGCGAAAACATAATAGAATATTTTGTCCTATTCCTCACTCACTACATCGCCAAGTGCTCTGACCTCACAAAACATACACAGAGCTCCTGGAACCTTTGGAAGTGTTCTGTGGGATTTGATTTAGGTTTTATCTTTATTCATCTACTTGCCCTTCTATGGCTTCCTGTTCAAGGTAGACTTTTAAAATCCTGGTAGTTTGGAATCGAAAATTATCCTGCTTCATCAAAAAAAGTGTGGTCTGGTTGCAACCACTAAAGGTCTTGCAACCACTAAAGGTCTTACAACCACTAAAGGTCTTACAACTGTATTAAATTCCACATATATAAAAGGTTCAGCAGAAAATCTGTGTTTCCAAATAATAGTTAATATAGTATAGTTCCCCTATACTATATAATTATAATTTTTCAATGGAGTGAGAAAATTGTCCATTTCGAGTTCTCCACAAACACACGAACCCGTCGATAATTGATAGATATTTAGATCTTCAATCTATTTGTAAAAAGTACAGTCGCCTATTGGCGATGCTAGTAATGCTCTGTGTGTTAAAGTGTGAGAGGCTGAAGAATGTCTTCTAAACCGTAAACCTGACATTTGAGGGTACGTTTCTTATCTTCTAAACCGTAAACCTGATATTTGAGGGTACGTTTCTTATCTTCTAAACCGTAAACCTGACATTTGAGGGTACGTTTCTTATCTTCTAAACCGTAAACCTGACATTTGAGGGTACGTTTCTTATCTTCTAAACCGTAAACCTGACATTTGAGGGTACGTTTCTTATCTTCTAAACCGTAAACCTGACATTTGAGGGTACGTTTCTTATCTTCTAAACCGTAAACCGGACATTTGAGGGTACGTTTCTTATCTTTTAAACCGTAAACCTGACATTTGAGGGTACGTTTCTTATCTTTTAAACCGTAAACCGGATATTTGAGGGTACGTTTCTTATCTTCTAGACCGTAAACCTGACATTTGAGGGTACGTTTCTTATCTTCTGGGCACTGATGATCACTCTAGTTTCTAGCCTGAAATCTAAACTCAAACCATGAGCAGAAGGATGGATATCTTTTTGCTGACAACAGTCATCATGTGATGTAGCTAAGCTTCCAAGACCTTGATCAGTCTGTCAAGGGTAATATCCTGATTATGCATTAGAACTACTTGTACAGGTCAATGTCTGGTGGCATATTCATAACCTTCCCTTTTTGGTCACATTTATGCTTGGTTTCTAATACTTAAGGTCTCTGAAAGTTTGCACTTCTGAAAAAGAAAAACAATTAGTTGTCACCAAAAGTGGCTCGCTAGTTTACTAGGTCTAATATCCTCAGTTTCACACATGAGTGTATATTAAAATTACTTCGATACATTTCTAACTAGTTAGTTTACTGGGTCTAACATCCTCAGTTTCACACATGAGTGTATATTAGAACTACTTAGATACATTTCAAGCTAGCTAGTTTACTGGATCTAACAGCTCCAGTTTCACACATGAGTGTATATTAGAACTACTTAGATACATTTCTAGCTAGCTAGTTTACTGGGTCTAATATCCTCAGTTTCACACATGAGTGTATATTAGAACTACTTAGATACATTTCTAACTAGCTAGTTTACTGGATCTAACAGCTCCAGTTTCACACATGAGTGTATATTAGAACTACTTAGATACATTTCTAGCTAGCTAGTTTACTGGATCCAATATCTTCTCTTTCATACCTGAGTGTACATTAAAACTACTTGGTTACATTTCTAACTAGCTATTTTAGGAGTTTATATTGTAATTTTCATAACTGAGTGTACATTACAGTTTGTTAGATATATTTATAGTTGGCTCATTTATTTCGTCTAATATCTTCACTTTCGTGCTCTTAAATAAATTACATTTATATGGTATGATATACTTGTTTAATATCCACTTAGTAGCAATCATGAGGATATTAATATCCAGTTGGCTTATGTACTACAGACCTAGTGTAAACATACGAATATTAGGACTAATGTATTTGTACTCAGAGGTATATTGTCCTCTCTTGGAAAGATTTAAGTACTCTAACTAATAAAATTGGAGTTAGTGCTTTGTTTTCCTCAGTTGGAAACATGTGTTAACGCTAATATATCTCTAGTAAGAAGTTTCTTGTCCTTCCTTGGATACATGTGTGTTAACACTAATATATCTCTAGTTAGAAGTTTATTGTCCTCCCTTGAAAACATGTGTGTCAACACTAAAATATCTCTAGTTAGAAGTTTATTGTCCTCCCTTGAAAACATGTGTGATAACACTAATATATCTGTAGTTAGAAGTTTATTGTCATTCCTTGAAAACATGTGTGATAACACTAATATATCTCTAGTTAAAAGTTTATTGTCTTCCCTTGAAAACATGTGAATTAACACTAATATATCTCTAGTTAGAAGTTTATTGTCATTCCTTGGAAATATGTGTTAACGCTAATATATCTCTAGTTAGAAGTTTATTGTCCTCCCTTGAAAACATGTGTCAACACTAATATATTTCTAGTTAGAAGTTTATTGTCATTCCTTGAAAACATGTGTATTTACACTAATATGTCTGTAGTTAGAAGTTTATTGTCATTGCTTGAAAACATGTGTATTTACACTAATATGTCTGTAGTTATAAGTTTATTGTCATTCCTTGAAAACATGTGTGTTAACACTAATATACCTCTAGTAAAAAGCTATTTTTCCTTCCTTGAAAATATATGCGTATTATAATTATGCGGATACAAGATTTTAACTAGCTAACGTACTGGGTTTATGGTGTGTTTTTTGTTTTGTTTTTGCCTACAAACATACAACTGGTAAACTGATCATTTCCTCTTCTGCTTCACTTGATAACGGTGCACGTTTAATGTGTTCACTTGATAACGGGTATATCACGATCACTTGAACTAAACATATGGATTAAAACTAATGCTATGTTAGTAAATTATGCCTAGTTAGCGATACTATCAGTTTTTAAGGATGTAAAACCAAAAACAAGATTGTGTTGGAAGGGTATGTTACGACGACAATTTTCCTAATAAAAGACCGATTTACCTGGTTAGTGCATTTTCCAGTGTGTAAGTTTTTCTTGTCTTTTCGGTACATTTTGAATTCTAATTAATTCACCAAGAAAATCGAATAAATGAACTAGGAAAGTTCGCATACAATAACATTATCTTATATTTTTACTTTTTTTAAACACAGTTACAAATCTATGTATACGTAACATTTACTAAAGAATCGATTTTTTTTCCCTGTATGTCGAGAGTGTTATTACATCTCTTACACAAAAATGTGATGCAAATCTTAAAATTTTACGAGTTTACAAAAACCCATTCTCTATATTTCTAACAGTCTATGTTTAATATTTGACGGGAAAAAAAAACAACTTTGTTATAATAAAATCATATTTACTTTTCGAAGAAAACACGTCGATTTTTTTGTTTCACATTTTAGCCAGCGCCCTGGTGTGTGTGACGTAATCTCTCAGTCGAAACGTTTCACCACACTGTGCAGAATCGATTTACTCGAGCAACGCTGTAGTTAAGATGGCAGTGGATTTTACAGCAACCTACAAAATTTTGGTACTTGGAGACAGTAACGTTGGAAAAACGTGCATTGTTCATCGCTTTTGTGACGAGAAATTTTACGACACCTACATTTCAACAATAGGTATGTAAAATCCTTTAAGTTTCTGTTTTTTTTATTGGCCTTTAGTTATTTAAAACGCAAAAAAAAATAATTGCCCAGTCAGCTGGTTAGCACTGCTGTACAAACCACAGTCTACATGAGAAACAGCAAATTCATTTTAAAAGCAAACAACTATAATTTTAACTATAAAGTGGAACTCTAATAGTTGATTAACACTGATGTACAAACCACAGTCTACCTGAGAAACAACGGGTTCATTTTAAAAGCAAACAACTATCATTTTAATTCTAAAGTGGAACTCTAATATTTGATTAACACCAATGTACAAACCACAGTCTACCTGAGAAACAACGGGTTCATTTTAAAGCAAACAACTATAATTTTAATTCTAAAGTGGAACTCTAATATTTGATTAACACTGATGTACAAACCACAGTCTACCTGAGAAACAACGGATTCGTTTTAAAAGCAAACAACTATAATTTTAATCATAAAGTGGAACTCTAATATTTGATTAATACTGATGTACAAACCACAGTCTACCTGAGAAACAACGGATTCGTTTTAAAAGGAAACAACTATAATTTTAATTATAAAGTGGAACTCTAATATTTGATTAACACTGATGTACAAACCACAGTCTACCTGAGAAACAGAGGATTCGTTTTAAAAGCAAACGACTATAATTTTAATTCCAAAGTAGAATTCTTGTTCTAAAACTAGGATTACGAATAACATCATTGAGTAAAACTGAACTGTTTCACTGTTGTTTTCGCATCTATTTTGTATTGAGAAGTATGTTTTATTAAATGATGTGAGAATAAACTCTATACATGCATCACAACCTACTTATCTTCCTGATACCTTACTGAGAATTACTGGCTACGTTAGGCTTAACAATAACAAAAAATCAAAAGTCCAATGATGAAACCATGTAGTGGTTGACAGGTAATAACAGACTTTTCTAGGACAATTTTTAGATCGATCAAATGACGTGTTCAAATTTAATCTGTTTAAGGCAACTTTCCGAATAATGTGTACGGTTTTTGGGTTGTGTTTTTACTCGCCGCAGTGAACCTATGTTTTTATAGGTTTCCAATAATATGTTGCGCTAATGCAATTAATTTATTTTTATTAATCTCAGCAGACAGACCACGTAATATTTCTCTCTTCATCAAAATCGAGAAGAACATGAAGCCCCCGTCTAACACGTGATTCACCATTTGGCATTTAATTGGATCAGTTTCGAGGAATTGGTAAATCCAGACAAATCGAAAAACAAAACTGAATGTCTTATAATGTAGGTCTGTACGCTCCTTCCTTCGCGCTATCTCTTGTTGAGTGTTGCAGAGGTAAATTTACGGATTTACAACGTTAAAATCTGGGGTTCGATTCCCCCTCGGTGTACACAGCGTATAGCCCAATGTGTCTTTGCTCTTAAAGAAACAAAAGCATTTATCCACCTCGCTGATAAGGGGTGAAATTCTCGGAAATCGGTTTGTCTCAGAGACAAGTAGTAAATAGACTGACAGTTAGGAACTGTTAACCAAATAAACTTTTAACTAGTCGTCTATCTTCTAATCTATGAGCTCATAAATAGGACCTGTTAATCAAATAACCTTTTAACCAGCCGGCTTCCTTCTAATCTATCAGTTCATAAATAGGAACTGTTAACCAAATAGCATTTTGACTAGCCGGCTTCTTTCTAATCTATCAGTTCATAAATAGGAACTGTTAACCAAATAGCATTTTGACAAGCCAGCTTGCATTTTGAC